GGGCTCGAACAGGCCTCGGTTAGTCCGGAAAAGCCGCTTTCCACTCGTCACCTTCCTTGATCCGGACATTGTTGAAGCCCCAACGGACGTCGAGTTTGGTGAAGTAGCGAGCGCCTTTGAGCCGGTTGATGAGGTCGTTGATCAGCAGAAGGGGGTACCGGTTTTTTGACAGTCATCGCGTTGAGAGCACGGTAGTCCTGGACGAAGCGGAGTCCGCCGTCCTTCTTCTTGACGAAGAAGACCGGAGACGCCATCGGAGACTTGGAGGGGCAAATCCGGCCCGTCGAAAGCCCTTCCTCGATGAACGCTCGTGAGCTCGCGTTGCTCGAGGGGCGAGATGGGGTACACCTTGCAGTTGGTGGGCTTAGCGTCGGGGACGAGTTCAATGGCGTGGTCCCAGGCTCTCCGCTCCGGTAGCGTGTCGAAGGACTCCTTGTTGAAGACGTCCTGAAACTCCTTAGCCCAGTCCGGGATCTCGGAGGGCGGAGGGGCGGAGTTCCTGGCGAAGGCTTCGGCCAGGCGCTGTGAGACAGTACTGCCAGCGGTATCTCCTCCGAGGGGCGGAACGAGGTGTAGAAGATGCGGTCACCATCTTCAAGCTGACCATCGTCTTCATCGTCGTCGGAGTCCGGCATCAGATCAGGCAGGGCGGAGTCGTCACCGGAGACGGAATCGTCTCCGTCGTCAGGCCCAGAGAGGTCCATGGCACAGACCGAGGGGAACGGGCCGGACCGGAGTCGCTTCTGGAGCAGCCGGAGTCGCCGTAGCTCAGTCCGTTCAACGCGTTCTTCCTCGCGGCAAGTGGAGCAACCGCGGGGGCACCGTGTCATCTTGACCTCCTTGGTTTCCCAATTGATTTCCGGGTTATGCTTCCGCAGCCAGGAGTACCCCAGAATAAGGTCTTGTTTACCAAGATGAGTGACGGCGAGTTGAACACGCTCGGAATGGCCTTTGTAGCGTAAGACCAAGTCCGCGATCTGGTTGATGGAGCCGGCGTCGTTCGGAGTGCCATCAACGTTAAAGACCGGAATCGGTTGCGCCAGGGTGCGGACCGGAATGCCATTCCGAGCGACATAGTTCGTGTCGATAAAGTCGGAGGTTGCACCACAGTCAACCAGGCCGGAGAGCGAGAGCTTAAGCGCGCTGGTAGTTGTAAGGGCAACCTCGCGAGGCTCGAAATCAGAGTCCTGAGCAGAGGGGGAATCCTTAGTGAACTACTACAACAGGAAGGGACGCTACAGACTCACCTGAGCAGAGGGGGAATCCTTAGAGAACAAGCCAAGGAGCCCTCTGCCCAGGTGCACTACTATATACCAGTGACCGGAGTAATGATAGAGTGACTGCATAGCGACGGATGACGGATGGGAGAAGTCAGGCATCGCTAATGGACCCTAGGTGAGTGTCGAGTAGCCCTTGAAGCTCCGGAGAGGCAGGTTTGGGACCGTGATGCCAAGGGAGGGGCCCAGGCATCCCTAGAAGGCCTAAGAAGGGCTTCGGGAGGTCCAGGCTGCCTCTGGGCGTCTCCGCTTGTGACCGTGACCGTGACAACCGGAATCGGAATCGGAATCGGAATCGACTCCGGGTGTGTGACCGTGACGTGACGGCCGGAAACGGAGAGGGAAGGCGTGGAGCGGAAAGGGAAGGAGTCTGGTCTAGCCCAAGGGCCGGGGAGTGTCGAAGAGGACCAATGGGAATGGCGGCCAGCCATGACCACTGGAGGGTAGCGACAGGGGGTCACTCGGAGACGTCCCCGGACGTCTCCAGAGAGGTGGAGGTGTGAGGGCGTGCAGCCTGGGGCGCTGCAGTAGGCACGAGCCTTAACGGCAGTAGGCCTCACCCAGGGGAAGGCCCGATGACGGGGGCCGTGGTGGCGGAGTGGAGAGCGGAGCCATGGCAAGGCTCAGCCATCCGAACATAAGCCCGAACGCTGACATGGGTTGGGGACACCCAAGAGGTCCAGCAGGTAGAGATCGTAGGGAGACCTTGATAAGTGACAGCCCAGAGAGGCTAGAAGGCCATAGGCTCAAGGTCTCGGAGGGAAGTGGTGCGTCCACATCCGGAGGGGTCTCCGATGGCATTAGTGATCCCTGATGGTGACTCCGCCAGGCGGAGAGACTCCCGGAAAGGGGTGGCCAGGGAAGTCGAAGACTGGGGATCACTGGATGTGGGATGTGGTGCGGGCAGTGGAGGGAGAGCGTCAGGGTGCGGAGACGCGGAGACACGAGCGGAGACGCGGAGACGCGAGCGGAGACGCGGCGCTTGATGGGATCAAGTGACGGCATCAGGGTTTCCCCTGACAGTAGTGGACTCTAGCTCCAACGGGAGGTGGAGGGAGTTCACTCCAGGGGAAGCAGCGACAGTGTACTGCTTGGGTAATTTCTTTTCCCAGGCAGTGAGGCGGCGAAGGACAATGACCGGAGTCGCAGGCGGAGTCGGAGACGGAGTCGAAACGGGGGCGGGGGAGGGTATGTCTTTCGTTTCAGGCTCGTTGTAGGGCAAAGGAATTGATTCGTCATACAAACAAGCGAAACGATTTATGGATGCGAACGAGGGCACACCAGTCACTCGTCGCGGGGGACAAAATCCTCTCTGGCCATCGACTCCGCGGCTGTTTCCGGCAGCGCAGCTGTGTCCGAGTAGCGGGTGATCAACTCCGCTAACATCTCGTCACCGAGTTGTTGGATCACCTCGTCGAGGATGTCCATTGAGCGGACATCCGCGGGGAGGGGGCAATCTCGGGCGAGATAGTTTGGGTCGCCGCACCTGAAGCAGGCGCGACGAGGGGCACCCCGAGCCCTAGTGCGATCCAACTCCATGGGGACGGGAGCTGGAGGCGCCGGAGCGGGGGCGCGGGCCGCGGGTGGCACGACTGGAGCCACCGGTCGAAAGGGGGCCGGAGCCGGGACGCGGTTGACCGGAAACGGAGTCCGAATCAAACCGCCAGGCGTCTTGGGGGCGGCTGACTTGATCAGCTTGGCCTGGACCAGGGCCTCGTATTGACGGAAGGCCCGGGTGCGCCAGCTAAGGTAGTCCCGGAGGTCCGGGGGGTCGTTCGAGGACGTGATTCCGTTGTTGATCAAGGGATCAAGTCCGTGGCGGAACTTGGTCACCTTGACCAACGCATCTTCGAATCCGGCGAGGTCCATCAGGTCCTCGAAGTCGTCGGTGTACTGGTAGACATCCTTGGTGCCCATGTGATAGGCAGAAGTCTCCAGTTTGGAGAGAGCGTGATCTTGCTCATTCTCCTCGACGAACCGGAGTCGAAACTCGGAAACGAATGAGCCCCAGGACGGAAACGGAAACGGGGCTTTGCTTCCGTGGCGCTCCGCCCATTGCTGAGCAGGTCCTTCTGCCATAAATGACATGGCATAGCGGACGGCCTTTTCCTCGCTCGCCTCTCCATTGACCACGAAGGCCTCAGGGGCAAGGCGGGCGTAGGTGCGGACCGCGTAGAGGAACGCGCGGCCGCGTTTCCGATCGCCGTTAAAGGTGAACGGGGGGTTTGGTCGTAAAACCAATTTTGAGGTGAGGTTGATGTCGCCAAAGAGGGCCTCGGAATCGCCCTGAACCGGAGTCGGAGTCGGAATGGGCCCTGGCAATGTTCGTGAGCGGGCGGGCGGCAAGCTTTCGTGAGGTGTCAAACGGCACCTTAGCCGATCAATCGGTTGCGGCGTTATGATCTTCCACTCACGAAGACAGCGACTTGTCAGTGGGTGCTTCGACCTTGTGTCTATCGGAGTTCAATCGGAGTCCAGTTTTTGATGTCGGCATCCTCCGTGCCGATCTAACCGGCGCCGCGTGCCACCTCCACCTGCACTGCCTCAAGAATGGTGCTCCTCGAATGTCTCGCCTGCTCCTGCGCTCGCAGCCTCACACTCGCTACTGCTCGAGGCAGCCGCGGCGCCAATGCAACCAGTACCTGCAAGGCCCATCGTCTATAACACAGTGAGTTGTGTGACCGTTGCACACATGGAGGTGAAGACACTTCTCTGGGTGTTGGAACCGTCAAGGCAGTTAACACGGAATCGTGTGGGGAGACCCCGGTCGGCGGCCAGCTATATAGGCTCACATACCCAAAACAGCGCAAGATTTCGCACCTCCCTCAGCTTTTGGCATTGGAGATAGCCGTCGGGCCAGCCGTTCCACTCGGATGCCTGGAGAGGGCAGTAGACATGGACTTGCGGTGGTGGGAATATCAGAGGTGGGGGTGGGGAGACTGCGCCTGGGTAAGATTCGGGTGACTTCAGTGCCAATGCAGCTCTATCGAGGAGAGAAATGAAAACCTACCAGTATTCTTCAATAAGCACTCGAAAGGTTCTTCAGAGTCCATCTACCCACCGTTCGCATCGTAGACTGGCTGCGGCCTACTGTGTTTGTGGTGGATTGGTCTTGGTAGCCTGTACGATGTCATCCTTCAGGCTGAAGACTGACCTGGATATAGACCAGGATGAGGGCGTAAAAGAGCGAGAAGAGGCTCGCTGGAGAAAAAGCTAGAGAATGCCGACAGCCACGTCATCACCAGGATTGCTTACAAGGACACGAGTTGAGAGTGGCTCCTGGGATGATGGATGCTGGGTGCCGCAGGGTACAAGCAAGAACTGCAAGAAAGAGTGAAAATGTGTGCTGATGGTCGTGGATTAAGGCTCCAACAATTTGTGTTTGACAAACTTTATAAACGGTTTTAACCCTTTTTATTTTCGTTTTATTTGGCAGGTTGAGCACATAGTAAATAAAAGGAAACAAAAGGTTTAAAAAGTATTTATTTATAGGTGCCACGTAGCACACTCCGAAAGGTCCGAGTAGTCCGATATGCCGCCATGTCACATCAAATCACTCTTACGCAATTTGGCCCAATGACTCTTCACGCTTGACCAAGACCAGCAACGACACGCGTAGCCGACTCCGCGTCTCAGCGGTCCCTACTCCGTCTCCGAGCGGTCGATAACGTGGCGGTGACGTGTCCGGGACCTTAAAAGGTCTGAGCAACGGCCACTGAGTTCATGGAGTCGACCGGACGCCGCCAGCGTAACCCTGCACCCCGAGTCCTTGACTCTTCGAATGGAGAGAGCCCAAGTGCTGCTCATGCGAAAATTATCGCCGGTGCGTGCCAGAAACTTCACTTGGATGCATCTGAAGCCCTTCCAGCGAAACCTATCCAAGATCTCATAAAGAAAATCGGCCTGCTTACCGCAAAACTTCCGTCCTCGATCCCTCTAGCCACCGAGAGCGACGAAATCTATCGCGTCATCAAGAAGGTCAAAGCTCTCGATGACAAGGTGGCCGCTCATTTCAATCGTCGCTTCGATATCCTGTACGGAGAAGACTGTCGCGATGAGAACGGTCGGCTGGTGCATATCCGGCGGGGGAAGTATGGGCTGGACTGCGTAGTCGTGTACCTGAAGTCTCTGAAATGGGACTCGGGGGACATTCCAATCGACATTGCCTTTCTCAAGGTTGCCAGACTAGCTCGTGAATCACAATCCACTTATTTGTCGCAGGAGTTTGGGCACCACTTCCCCGTCATATCTCAAATGGCCCGAGACTTTTTGGCTATACCTGGAACAAGTGTTTCCGTCGAACGGCTATTCTCGAAATCACGTCACCTCTGTCACGAGGTTCGAGGCTCAATGAAAGCAGAAACAATCATGGAAGCAATGCTGACGAAAAGTTGGATCAATTCGGGTCTTCTGTCGCTGTAGCCTTCACAAGAATAAATTTTATTAGACATTTTTAAACCTTTTTAAAACTGTTATAAACGTTTTAAAATGTTTTTTGAACCCTTTCCGTTTGATTTGTCTCCACCAACAAAAGGAAACAAAATGGTTGGAGCCCTATCGACGTGGATGCGGAAAGAGAGCGAAGATTAACACAGCCACAGCTGCCGTCCCATGATGACGAATGATGTCGAGGCCTTGAGCTCAAGCGTTCGGAGCACCATGGATTCCATTTCAATGTCTATTTGGGTGAGTGATATGTCAATACATACCTTGATATCCATTCGAGCTCTTAATAATACATCCAGCGCTGCAAAATGACTGTTTTAATTGCGCCGTTTATACTACAAATTTTACATTATCTTCAACAAAGGTTGTATTCGAAGGTTGTATTCGGACTCTTCTGTTGGGCTCGGGGGCCAGTTTGACCTGAACTTGCCAGTGGACATTCAAGTTAAAGTTGCATATCCAATTACTATTTACTATCATGATGAGTATTGTAATTTTCTATTCTACGCAAATTCTACGTATTGATTTTCTGCCTTCCAAACAGCTACATACTCTGGATACTCCACCGCAAATGCATCGAAATGCATTCTCGCATACTCTCGAATCGGAGTCACCTTCCCATCAACATAGATCTCCCAGTCTAAATTGAGGCCTTTGTTGCGTGTGTTGGCGGGCCCAGACTTGTTGCGCTTCCTTGATGTGTGACCCGAGCTCTCTGTGTCGCGCGCGCGTTTAGTAGTTGTGGACTCCGATATCACTCGCCGATCAAGAGCTGGCTGCGTCGGACGCGTTGAGCGGCGCACTGCAGGGATATCCGCGGCAGGACTCAGTGGAGCGGTCACATTGCCTTGAGACTGAGCTGATGAGCTCAAATCCATGACAATATCGACGAGAGGCTGAGAGTTGTCCGCCGCGTCTTCCTCAAGCTCTTCAACAGTTGCCAGGTAGCTCTGGGTTTGTGCGCTAATCCGAGGTCGACCAACGGACACCCGTCCCGACGAGTTAGACTAAATATCATCTTGTTAAGCCTGCGACTTAGAGGATGACAGATAAACAACGGACCTTGGCCTCAGCTTTGGCTTTTGAAAGCTTTGTCTTAGACACCTGAAGTTGTTTCTCGCACACCGCAACTTGATTTTGAGCTTGCGCTGACGGTCGCGACTGACAATTGTGTTAGGACGGAACAAAATAATAATAGACTCAGAAAATGTACCTTTGCCAGTTTCCTTGCCTTTTTGAGCTCAGCTTTCGCCTCAGCCACACCGACTCCACGCAATCGAACCTTGATGTCGACAAATCGAACTCGACGGCTCTTCTCAACCGCGGAGAGTCGTCGAGTGTATCGACTGAGATATCGGGTGGCGACGCCGTTGCGTGGGTTCCGCGCATCACCTGTTCGCTCCTCTTGCCGAAGCTGGGCCTCAATAGAAGCATCGAGCGCCTCGTACCTGTATGCGCGTTAGTTTCAATGTGATGCAGACCGGAGAGACCAACTTCTCCATCGATTCTATGATTCCCATGTCTGTGCCGGTTTGGATGTTGTTCCATCGATGCTGACCTTCTCCGAGGTTCGTGTTTGGCTCGAGAAGATCCCAGTCGGCGCCGATGTTGGAGCGAAACTGAATGAGGGCTGGAAGAAGCCACCGATGCATTTTCTTGTGGTCCAGCCATCCTGAGACGGTGAGACACAGGACAGTAAATAGAAGTTACTTACTTTGAGTACGGCCAGTCGGATCATCGATACTACCAAGCCACAGCTCAAACTTGTCCAGCTCAGCCTGCGTCTTGACGTGACGAAGCTCACGCAACTGCCCTCGAGTTTCTTTTGACAGATGCTTTAAATCGTCAATGCCGCTGCCAATGTGCTTGTTAAAATCTCATCGCGATATGAAACACTGACACTCACCGATTGAAATGGACGCTACAAATCCGGAGAACGTAAGATAGGGTCGATTCAGGGTTACCGATCCGAGCCTTATACTCCGGTGTCATTTCTTCCCAAAGAGCAGCAGCGAACCCAAGAAGTGGTGCCGCTTCCATATCAGAAAGTAGACCCAATATCTTCCCACCATGATGGACACGCTTAAATCGAAGGGGTTTACCAGTCAACTCGAAAACAATTCGGAAGATTTCGGACCAGACAAATTTGAAGGACGATTCATCGTGACTCTCCATCCAAAGGTTAGGATAGGCCCAAAGCAATAGAATTGTCCACGCACCATGTTGCCCTGTTGCTTCCACAGCCACTGTTGCTCCCAGGGCCACTCCATGCGTCCTCCGCGTAATTCGCCTCCGCACGTTCTGGCCGTGCATAGTACGTGTCCCACGATGGGTCATACATAAGCTGCGGTGAGTGAGTCACAGGCTGATACACTGTACAATGTGTGCGCACCGTGTTTGATGTCTGCGACGCGCGTTTTAACGGTCGGGAGGTTGGGGCGGAGGGGTCGGGCGTCGGAAGGGATGGAGGAAAAGAAGCAATCGATGATCTGCCACGTCACGTTTTGACGTGTGACCTACCATTTTGGGTCAGATTCCCATGATGCTTCGGACCTCACGAAAGTCGTTGACAGCTTTCATCAACCTCACGAATGCTGACGCTCGGCAACCAACTCACGAAAGCTACCATCAAGTTCATGAAAGATGCCATCAATCTCACGAAATCTTGTCGCGCGCGCGCTCGCGAACATCACTATTACCCGTCGGAATCGACGTCTCCGGTGGTGGTGTTTGGGGTCCGCTAGCAGTATTAGCGGCGGCAGCGGCAGCGGAAGCCTGGGTGGTGAGGAGAGTAAGGGCCTCAGTTAGGCGGTCGATTTTCGCCTCGAGTGCATCCAGCCGAGTGTCAGCGTCAGGAGTAGCTCCGGAAGGCATGACAGGTGCAGGGACGACAGGAGTGGCAGAGGAGGAGGGGACAAGTGGCAGGGGCGGTGGCGAGGGCGGAGTGGACTCGGACTCCGAGTCTGAGTCAGCGCCGAACCTGGCAATCTTGTCCGGTTGATCCCGTAGAGAGTTTCTTCTGCTGTAAGGGCAACCCCGGAGGCCTGAGATCAAGGTCCTAGCAGGGGAGGATCCAAAGAGTGAATAGAAGTAAGCAAATACAAGTGAGGCTGACCTAGCAGGGGAGGATCCAAAGAGAAGAAACTCTAAGGGTCCGCCTGCTAGGTAGCGGAACTATATACTGCGCTCTTGACGCGCCAAGGTTGACCGTTGCTCCGTGCAGTATGCCTGCGCCATGTCGCAGGCCAGGTCCCAGGGGGATCGCCAGGCGGGGGCGGCGATGCGCCTGACGGAGGCGGTGATGCGATCACCGGAGTCGGTGACGAGCCTTGCTCGTCACGCCTGTCATGTGACCGCTCCGCTTAGTCAGCAGCCATATCCGGTAGCCGCCTTAGTTTTCTTAGTTTTTCATTTCCCTTGTCTTGTGCCTGTTCCTTTCTGTAGTTCCCTTGACTTGTTCCTTAATTAGAGCTCCTAGCTCCTAGTTCTTTAGTCTATATAAGCCACTGTTTTAGTTAGTCCAAATCATCATCCTGTTGATCTCTCTCTGCTGCCTGCCTCTCTGTTTCCTCTCTGTTCTCCCTCTGAGTTCTCTTTGCTTAAGTCCCTTAAGTGTTGAGAGTTTGGCTGCTAAGTGCATAAGTCTTATCAGAGCTTTTTGATAGCACTTGCTTTTTAGTTCTTGTTCACTCCGTGAGCAAGCGCGTCATTTTGGAGCCCACCGCGAGGGCTTTTCAAAATTGCGTCTGACAGCTCTTACGGCTTACGGCCTAACTCCGCCCGCACTTCCCACCGCGAACTGCACGAAGAAGTTCTCGCTGCCATCCACGACCCCTACACATCAACTCCTTACCTTCCCGGTGACCCGGACGACCTCCTACACGTCGTACCTGACACATTCGCGACACACAACACACTTACCCCTCATCGCCCCGGTGATCCGACATTAGCTTGGTTATTCGATAACCCACCAACGCCTATCGACGAACAGACGTATCGCTCCGACGAACAGACCTCGCCCGACTCTCCCACACCCAGCCGCGCACCACCCCAGTCCCGCTCAGCCTCGATAGTACCACCCAACAACGTTAACCCCGTCAATATGCCTCCCACTCCGATCCCAATGCCCGCTCGCGGCGCGCATACTGCGCCCAAGTTCGACTCCACGAAGCCAGAAGAGCTTCGTCGTTATCGCGCCGATGTTGAGTACTTGATGGGGCTAGCAAATATCACTACGACTGAGGATAAGAAGAAAGCATGCTCACGTTACCTTTCAGTCCAAGACCAGGAGCTCGTTGAAGGTCTTGACGAGTTCCATGATGCCACTAAGACGTACGATGAGTTTAAGAAAGCCGCTCTCGCACTACGCTGGAAACGATGAGGAGCACTTGTATACACTCAAAGATTGGGACGCTCACCTTGGTAGCACGGCCCGCGTCGGCATCCACTCCGAGAACGAGCTCGCTGCGTTCTTCCGAACCTTCGTTCGCATCGCCAAGTTTCTCATTTCGAAGAAACGGCTTTCTGAGACTGAACAGAGCCACGCATTCTTGCGTGCTCTCCAGCCCGCCTCGCTTCAAGCGGCTGTGAAGCAACGGCTTCAGATCATCCGCCCGAACGTCCACGCGGACGACCCGTATGCGCTCGCCGACCTGTACGATGCTGCAAAGTTCTGCCTTGCCGGCTCGCCGTCCCCTGCTGTTGAACGCGGCACCAACCCCGAGCCCCGCTGAACCTGTGGTCAAGACGGACCCCGAGCTGAAGGCGGTGCTCACCTCTATAAGTCAGCTTGTTGCCGTGCTCGCCAGTCAAGCACGCACCAATGCTGCCCCCAGCCAATCCCCCCAGACACCCAGCAACGCCAACCCCTCCGCGAATCCCGGCCGCTCCTCCGGACAGCGCCACCCCGGCTGCAGCTATTGCCTCGACCTCACCCACTTCATGCGCGAGTGCCAGAAGTTGATTGAAGATATAAAAGCTGGATTAGTCCGACGAAACGAAGAAAACAAGCTGGTCTTACCCGATGGAAGATACCCTTCCCGGGCTCTTGCAGGCCAGTGCCTCCGCGAACGAATCCTCGCTTGGCACGAGCAGAACCCTGGCCAGAAACTGACGCCCCAGCTGATCGTCGACGTTGTGAAGAAACCCGCTACCCCCACGCCAGTTCCCGCGGTCGACTCCTTCGTCTTGAGCGACGAGCAACGGCTTGAAGCGATTGCCGTCGAGCAGCAGATGCTGCGAACGCGAATGGCGGCGAGGAAGGAGGCTGAGGCGAGAAAGAAGGGGGCAGAAGCAAAGGAGACGCCTGACTCGGCGGAGATCAGCGATCACCGCCCGAAGGCCGATCAGCGATCTGCTCCCGCTGCCACGTCAAACCCCGATTCTCCTCCTACTCCCACCTCCTCGTCTCACGGCCCCCGGCCCCGGCCCACGACCACGCGACAGCTGACGCACCAGCCGCCCCTGACCTCACACCACCTCCGGGACCCTTCCCCGAACACCCCTATGCCGCCGCTGACGCTGCTTACGCGCCGCCAAAAGAGCGCAATCTTGGCGCTCCTCACAAGCCACCCGTCCGCCCTCCGATTCACGACCCGCGAACGCGCAAGACGTGTTCAACGCGGTGCTAGACGCCGATGTGACCGTCAAGGCGCGCAAGTTACTGGCCAGTCCGGAAGTCTCGGCTCTGGCTCGCCAATCGTTTACGCCCGCGCCCGACCTGCAGACAAACCTGCAGAGCAACTCCTCAACAGCGAGGACCCGCTGCCTCCACTTACTGGCTTCGACTTGGCCCCACAAACGACCACGCCACGGCGCGCGCGCAGCCGCAATCCGCGATTCACTGCCCGATGCAGTCTCCACTGCGGCCGCAAACCACAACGCGAATGGCATCTTTGTGCCAGACGCGTTCGTGGCGCTCTACGACCAAGGCCGCCTTCCTGAAGGCCTCATCACTTCCGCCCGAAACAACCGCCATCCGCTGCATACTCCCCATAGTCGACAATCAAGAATATGTGGAGTCTATTGTAGACCCCGGCTCGCAAATCTGTGCGATGTCGGAAGCTCTCTGCCATCGCCTCGCCCTCCAGTACGACCCGACCATCGTTCTTCAGATGCAGTCCGCCAACGGGGCGATTACCCCTTCGCTTGGAGTCGCTCGCAACGTCGCGTTCACGTTGCGCGACATTGTACTGTACCTGCAGGTCCACATCGTCCGGAACCCCGCCTACGATGTCCTGCTCGGGCGTCCATTCGACGTTCTCACACAGTCTGTGGTACACAACTACAGTAACAACGACCAAACCATCACGATCCGCGATCCCAACACCGGCCGAACCGCGACCGTCCCAACCATCCCGCGTGGCTCCTCTCGAGCAACAAAAGAGGGTTTTCTCAAGCTCAAGTCTTCACGTATGAAGCACTGAGCTCCGCAGACAGTATAGCGCTGGTTATTGACCATGACGCTCGCTCGGACACATTTCAAATATCGGCACACAAGACACTCGAATCGGACACCCGCGAACACATTCAACTCGCTTACCTCGCTGCGTGCGAGCACCTGCCCTGCCCAAATATAGCAACAGATGAGATGTGTTGATGGGACCCGATCAACACATCTCCGCGGTATGAAATTCTTTGATTTCTCTTACTCTTTGGCAATCCTCTCCCAGAAATCCCCTCGCTAGACTTCACTCTGAGCTCGGTGCTGTCCGGGCGGCCTGCCGCTGCCATCAACGGCGCGGCGGTGTCACTCGGCGTGACACCGCCCCTCTGTCCGCTGCTCACCGTCCCCCGTCCTCCGTCGTCACTGTTGCGCGCTCCCGGCGGGTCTTGGCGACGCCGTGCGGGACGGACGTCACAGCGTGATCATCGCGTGACTCCGCGGCTCTGTCAGCCGCCACGTCGACCACCCCCGTCTGCTCACTGTCCGCCGCCGTCGCGCTGGCCACCATCACAGCTCCATCACCGCGCGCTCCCCGTCGGGCCTCGGCGCCGCGCCGATGACCGAGAACAGCATGACAGCGTGGCTCTGTTAGCCGCCACGTCGACCACGCCTACCCTGTCCTCTCGCTCGCTGCCGCCGCCGCGCCCTCCGGCCGCGATGACCACCACTGCGCAATCACTGCGTGACGCCTGGCTCTGTCGCTCTGTCAGCGGTCTCGCCGACCATATCTCGCCTCGCCACCCTCCCCCGCCGCGCACCTCCGCCCTCCCGCGGCCGCTGTCCGCATACGCCGCCGCCCTCGCGCTTAATTCGCGCTGATCGACACCACAATTATGTGGCAATAGCAGGCCGCAACTCCTCGCCGCGCCGCTAACTGAGCGCTGCCCCCATGGTCAACGCCTGGGCGCGATGACAACAATGTCGACGGGAAGCGCGGCGGTGGTAGTGAGTGCGGCTGCGACAGCGGGCGGCGACAACTCGGGCGCCCGGAAAGTGTATCCGTCGCTAACGATCGTTTGCCAAGACCCTTGTGCGGCATGTGTCGCTCCAGAGTCCAAGCGCTGTCAGCGCCAGTCCTGACTTCGTTTGCAGTTTTTCACCATTTTCCCCTGGTTTCTTCCCCCCCCCCAACCGTCGTCGATTCCTTGCTGCTCGCCGCATCACCACAAGCCCGCCATCGTTCTGTGCTGGCTGGGCGCTTCACAGCACTAGGCACGTCGCAACTGAAGCGCTGTCAGCGCCGGCCTATCACCGCTTCACTGATAGGCAACACGGTCTCGGTGCTGTCTCGCGGTGGGAACCAACTGGGAACGTACCCGGGACCGGCATCTCCAAACTGGATGCTTGTTGCGTGGGTTCTGCGTGGGCTCCTTGTTGCCTCAGAGCGATCTCCTCGGGCCAGCTATTGCGCCGAGCTTGGCGCTTCGCATGCCGGCCTCCCTGACTCAGTGGCCGAGCAGCCGCTGGTCACTCCTCAGGCCTGCTCTCAAGCCGCTGCTCTCACGACCACTGCTGTTTCTTCGCTGCTAGTCCCTGTCCTCGCTCCCCGCCTGCGAGACCATTGTCATCCTGTGGTGGCCTGCGTTTCCTCCCCCATTCCGCGCGACGTGAGAGCTGCGTCTTTTCTCTCTGGACTGGCCGTACGCACAGTGGATCTATCGTGTAGCGGGTGACGCCGATGAGGGCCGTGCTGCCCGCGCGCGGTCGTGCGTCGGACACATGAAGGGCAGCTGCCCGGAGCTCTATGCGCTCGGCGCTGCGCAGCGCGCACCCGCGGTCCATGCGCCCGACCACGTGCGAAAACTGGTACGTGTTCGCGGATTCACGGTATTTGTCTGCGGATTGCGCCAGGCGCAGGAGAGTGTGCCCACGTGCAGGTTGGCGGGCGTGATGTTGTACTATGTAGTCAGTTGTAGGAAGGCTTTGCTGTAGTTCACATAGATCTTTATAGTCTGTTTGAGAACTTGGTGGTTGAAACTTGAGAACTTGGTGGGTGAAACTGCTTGGAATATAACTTAGGTCTGTCAGAGAACTTACATTGCCTTATCGGAAACTTCTAGCTCCTAGAATATGTTTCAATATTTTATCATATAGGCTTAAGATCTGCCTGGATCTGGGGCTAGATAAGCTATCAGAGAGTATAGAGATGAAGGATAGACCTATATGTACCACAATATCCATTTGGGTATGAGATACCATGCCTTGTATATGCTGCAATTTGGTGAATGTTGCACATGTCACTTTTGTGACACTCTTTGCACTCAAACATTGAACTTGTGGTTTGGAATACAGGATACAGACCTCAGAAAGTGGTGTGTTTGTAGGCTCAGGAGAGTCCCTGATGAGATATGTGTGTTTTTGTGAGCAGTACCAGACATTAGAATCAGAGACCGGGTTAGTACTCTTAAGGCCAAAAGAACTGTCTGCGCTATTACATCTGGTCAAATATTTATCTCAAGCAGGATTTATAAAACATATATAGGCCTGAGGAGGACTTCAAATAAACTCTTCAGGCACTTTAAGTAGCCTCCTAACTATCTTGGATGTTCCATGATTAAGGAATCAGTGTTATCTTTGCCAAAATCAACTCCCCAATATCTGTACTGATTTTTGGCAAATATGTTTAGTAATTTGGGGTCTGGTAGAGTGCATATGTAGCTCTCAGAAACTGATATGCACTGCCAGCTAGACCTACCAGAAGTCAGAATATAATATGCACAATAAACCCCACCTTTGAGTGATACCATCAAGTGCCCCTGGTCCAGAAATGGGTCATATTGTAGTATTCTATCCCTCGTAGTCAAATCTACTTAGATCGATCTTATCCACCGAGTACATAAGAAGCTTTCAGCTTTTCATTACCTAAATAGCCTGATACAGGCAATTACTGCTGAATAATGTGGCATAAGGGTCTTGAGTAGCATTGATTTCTCATGGGAGATATTCTACTCATTCATGCCTTTAAGATGAACACTCAACTATTCATATCCATGCTCTGGATGTGGAGAAATAGTACAACATCAGCTGCATCAAAACCACATGATCAAGTGATGGGAGGCCTTTTCATGCACTTTGGAGCAGCACAAGCTTCAAGAGCGGTTGCTATGGTCCTGTAGGCATACAGTAGGCTCAAAAACACTTCATAGCTCTTTTATTGTACACTACCATCTATCTACTTGGACAATCTACTACCTGCCCCCAGTGGCCCAGTTGAGCCTCAGCTATCGGCGTGTCGACCAGCAACAGGCCACAGCGGGCCCTAGCGGTGCGTGGACAACGAGTGGCGACCAGGCAATAGTGTCGAGAGAGCCGTGGACAACGGGGTGGCCATGCAGACGAGCGATAGGACATGGTGCGAGTAACAGAACGGACCTGCCGGCAATGCTGGAGCCGGCGCAGAGTGCGATGTCATACTGGTTGGGGTTGATAGCAGGGTGTCGGGTCGGCGTGGCGGCGACGCTAGCACATAACAGCGTGGGCCGGCAGGCGGGCTACGTGATGTGGTACGTGGGCAATGAGAGCCGTTAAGGTCAGCCTGACCGCATTACTGGTGCGGAGACAGGAGGTGCGTTGGGCGGTGCGTAGGGCATGGTTAACTAGTGGCGACCATGCAACAACGGTGTCGCGTGAGCCGCGGGGCAGGACATGATGCGGGCGTGTGTGTTTGATGTCAGGAGGAGAGATAAGAAGGGGGATGGGTTTGGCGAGCAGACACGGCGGGTGACAGCGTGTGGGGCAGGTTACACAACGTTATGTCATTGTGGCGGCGCCGACTCGTGGGCAACAAGAGCCGCATCAGCGCAACATCAGCGACTAGGCCCTAGGGGCAGCGAGGACACATGTGGCTGGGTCGACGTGGCTAGCGCGGCGCAGAGGAAGCGGGCGGGCAACAGGGATGTGAACAGTGTCGGCAAGTAGCTGACAGTGGGCGGGCGGTGTTGCGGCGGTAGCAATTCTACGCGAATGTTACGCGTGATTGATCTCGTGTCGTGTGTCGTGGCATTGACCGTAAGCACGGTGATGTGCCAGTGGAGGCAGTGAGCACGGTGGCGGCGGCGGTCGGGCGGCCTCGACCCTCGGGGCAGCGCTCGGTGGGCGGCACGGCGGGGAGTTGCGGCACGTTGCGGCGGTGATCAGCGCGCATTGCGCACGAGGGCGGCGACGTAGGCGGACAGTGGCAACGGGAGAGCGGAGGTGCGCGGCGGGAGGATAGCAGCGAGCGAGAGGACAGGGTAGGCGTGGTCGACGTGGCGGCTAACAGAGCCACGCTGTCATGCTGTTCTCGGTCATCGGCGCGGCGCCGAGGCCCGACGGGGAGCGCGCGGTGATGGAGCTGTGATGGTGGCCAGCGCGACGGCGGCGGACAGTGAGCAGACGGGGGGTGGTCGACGTGGCGGCTGACAGAGCCGCGGAGTCACGCGATGATCACGCTGTGACGTCCGTCCCGCACGGCGTCGCCAAGACCCGCCGGGAGCGCGCAACAGTGACGACGGAGGACGGGGGACGGTGAGCAGCAGACAGAGGGGCGGTGTCACGCCGAGTGACACCGCCGCCGCGCCGTTGATGGCAGCGGCAGGCCGCCCGGACAGCACCGAGCTCAGAGTGAAGTCTAGCGAGGGGATTTCTGGGAGAGGATTGTCAAAGAGTAAGAGAAATCAAAGAATTTCATACCGCGGAGATGTGTTGATCGGGTCCCATCAACACATCTCATCTGTTGCTATATTTGGGCAGGGCAGGTGGTGCGAGAACCTAGGCGACGACCACGACACTGTACATTGCGCGCACTACCTAGCGCAACCAGCCTTTACCCTAATCACGGACGGCCCCTTGGTGCCGCCATACCCTGCTTCCCCTCACTGCCGCCACTCCCGGCGATGACTTCCTGCCCATCTTCTCTATCTCTTCTCACTCACGATACCCGCCGCCGTCGCGCGCTACCGATCCACGACAGCCCAGCTTCCTCGACTCTATCCCTTCCTC